GTGTCACCACTTTCGACTTTCTGCATTTTTGGCCCGGCAGTATCTGTTGAGATCGGAACTGAAGCGAAATTTCTGCATACGATAGGAACGGCAGTGAAGCTTCTGCATGACATTCTTCCATCACGATAACTCCTGTAAGCCGTGCCCGTTGACTTCCTTTTGAGGGTCACCCAGGATCTCGACCGATTGGCATACGGACCATTTTAATAGTCCTATCTTCAGAAACATTCTACCTTTCTATCTTTCCTGGTTTGTCTCTGATTCAATCTTCTTTTCTATATCGTTTAATAGCCTCCTATACGGTTATTAGAAAAATCCCAAAAAGTTTCATAACGCCCTTCCACTTCTCGCGCGTCAATGATTGCAAGTGGCGTTGAATGAGCCTCCTTCATCTGGAAGATAATGGGAGTTCCACATCAGCAACCATGCATATTGCAAGGAAACCTTCTTATGCAACTAATTGATAACAGGTAATGTGAATTTGATAGACTATTTCCACCTTAAAAATTACTGAACTTCGGCGCAAATAATTTTGGGACACCCTGTATATCTTTTCAATAACTCAGAAGTAATCGAATGTAGGTAAACAGAAGACCCAACACATCATCCCTCTCCTCGAAACAGCCTAGCCCAATTAAGAAATCCGGAATTGATTAAAAGTTACCAGACTCTTCTGGGAACGAAAAGCCATCGACTGGCTCTCGGAAGCCTTTGCATAGGAAGGCATGCATTCAAACCACAGTGAGATAACAAGTAGGAGTGGAGTGATGGACGAACCAAAGAAGCTGGTTCAGTCAATTCAACCATAGTCCTACACTTTTATCTCCCACTCGGATTCTGCGACTACTAAAGTTTAGCGACACCAGATAGGAATACTTTTCTTATGATCCTCTTGAGAGGCGTCAGAGAGGATCATGTTATTACAGCAACTGATCGTTAACTGAAGATGTTGTACAAGCAAGAGATAATTAATGGATGAGAACGATAGCACAAAAAGTGGTAGACACTTGGAGGCGAGAAAGATACAACTGCCTCTGGCCGTTTCACAATTCGGAACATTAGGAAAGAGAGCATTAGAAAAACTAAAACAGTGAAAGAAACCTTCTCGAAGAATCCTTGCTCGTCACGAAATCCCACTAATACATCATTGAGACCATCATCTAATACGGCAGCCAACCTATAGCCCAGATCAATATCCGGTATCCATATACGGTTTTCGAATAGTTGATCCTCATCGTGACCAGCTTTAGCTGGCTGTAGGTACCTAAAATAACTCTGTCAAATCAGATCGGTCACAGGGGTCAGAGATTTGTTGTGAAAAGCGGCGTTTTCGCGGCAGGACAGTTGACTTTTTTCAGCATTAGTTGCACAAAGCAGGACCCTGTCAGCCAGATGTTGGCCCAAAACCCGCGCAGTGATGCCTTTGTAGTTGACCCTATTAATCTAGAAGGAACCTCGGCGCTTAGTATATGGAGGGATGATTAAGGCGTCCGGAAAAGACTTGACAGGGCAGGGGAAGCCTACCTACCCACTGATGGAGCCTAGTTTGAACCGATCCCCAATAAGGAGGCCCGCCACAACTATGGGAGTTTTCTTTGGCGAAAGAGGGTTATTAAATAATTAACCCTATTTACCTGAGTACGGCGACGTCCATGAGGGTAGTGGAGGCACTGGCGTAGTGACCGTGGATTACACAGCGCCTTCTTCACGAAAGCCCAGAACCACGCCCCAAAGAGTGAGGAGAATGAAAATTTCGGAACACTCATATCATTAATCATTGCCACTTATGATGACAGAAATAGATTTGATCTGGTAAAGACTTCGATGAAAATATCATCTTTGGGGTGCGGGGGAAAAAAGACTTTTCCTACACATATGAGATCCATTATAATGTTTTTCAGCCTCTTCTGCCTCATGCGATTGGCATCAGAGATCCATTATATGAAGTTTTCTCACAGAAATTTTGCCTCAGATCTACATGAAAGTTCAATCGAAAAAAAGACAGTCACCATTCCCCAAGTTTAGATTATCTGAGCGAGTGTTTAGGGTAGGTTACCTCGTTCAGGTACCTTCGAGAATGGTGATACTTCTATTGAAGAGGGTGGAATAGAAAAAAATATCGTTACTCAAACTACCTCGAACTGTGAACCAATTCTTAGCAAAGCCGAAGCAAGTAGAAAAGGCAAATAAAAGATGAAGTGAATTTAGATACTGTTAGAAGGTAAGGCGATATGCATGGCGCATCCCCGCGAAGTACTGAGAACAGCGATTGAGGGATCTTAAATATAGCTGTATTGTGAAATTAGTAGTGGCTTGGTATTATTCGCAGAAAGATTATCCTGTTTGAAATTTGAATATAACCAGATTTGCATTGAAATCCCGAAGCCTTGTTGTATTTTCGACCATAAAACTGTCCGTATTCAAGAAACATTTGTCGTACTCAGTTGTGAGTTGGTATTTGTCTGAAATGATTCTTTGTTGATGATACGCCATGCATATTACCTGCAGCCCAATTTGAATACGGATGATCGTCTTTTAGAGTCGCGCAAGACCTGCTTAGCTTCAGGTTCAAGGATATTTCTACAAACAAGTTACAAAAAGATGCGAGATCAGCTGATTCTAAACATGGTATATCATTTCTGACATGACATCAAGAAAAGGTGGTGTAGTGGCGAATGGCGCACTATTTCACACGCATGGCCTGCAGTTCGAGTCCTGGATTCATATTCGCTCAGGGCACCCAAGACTACCATTCGTCCAAAGCCAATCGGATGGCGCAGACTCGTCTGGAAGGATGAAGCATTGACTTGTACGTCGACTGTCCTCAGCAAACTGTTGTTCAGGTTGTTCAGGCCACATACACATTCAATATCGCCGAACGATTTTGAACATAAGCCGAATGTCGGGGTGCATCACAAGGATTAGAGTGACTAGCACTAAAGGCTTTATCCTTCTTATCGGCGTAAACGTGTCGGCCTTCAAAGGCGGGACGCCCATGCGTCTCATCAGTTTCACGCTTTCGCTTTTTCGGCCGTTTCTTCAAACTTCCCGAACGATAATGGTGAACCACTGCAAGGCATCACCAGCATGGTAATTTTTGACACCAATGGATCTCGAGATATCCTACTCCGTTAGAATACTTTAGACAGATTAATCCCTCAGCACCCTCGAGATATGCCTACTCATTTAGAATACTTCAAAAAGACTCATCCCCAGCGCTATCGACGATTAACGCAGAGTCCATGAGAATTCCGTTTTAAGATGCAAAAAGGGCTCGGAAGGGAATTGAGTATCGGATCGTTTAGACACACAATGAATGATGGGAGTGAAAAACTTGTCAACATAAAAGCGCTGAGAGAACAGCTTCTCACCTGAAACAGTACTCCACGTTTCCTTCACCATCCCCGACAAGGTATGTTTCATATTTCGTCCGTCATGATCAGCTTATCATTTAACGATTTATGACCAAATTATATTATTTCTTTGATAGTGGTCGTAAATAATGTAGACAAATGACTTGAGAAGTGTATAACGAATGAAATATCGAATAATGTTTTTCAAGCAATTGGCCGAGTTCGATTTGTTCATTTAGAATGAGATTATTTTATGAAGTCAACTTCAGTATCAAACACGAGCTTAGATTCCCTCTTAACTGTCTCAACTTCGTGAAACTGTGATTTCACCAAGATTCTAGGCCACAGTGAAGACCATCTGATGTTTCGACACCAAACTATAAAGGGTACTTTGCGTGACAGATTTACAGATTTGACGAAACAGGAACAGTGAAAGACCTTTTCAAAATTTGGGACTAGTTGTTAGAAGTTCAATTCTTCGCTCTCCCCGTTTGGGATCTATTGAACTTACCTTGAAAGGTTTGAGAGAAAGCAGGTACTAAATAATTTGCTCCAGACTGCCTTATCTCTCGATATCCCATACATTCCTACCTACAGTGACGATTCCGTTTATGCAGTTTGGATGAGAAGCCGTTGTCAAATACCATCGAAGAAGTGTGATGGGAGTAGGCTTGAATGGGTAACAAGGTGGGTCTAGTGCAATCCATGACTTTCGGAAAAAGTCGAAGGCTAAAATGGTGGGACTACTGCCATCCATGACTTTGGGAAAACTGACTGGGCCGAAATTTGAAATCCAGAACCTTCAGATCCAACTAAATCCTGATTCACCAATTTCCGGTTTTGAATTTAAAGTTTTTTTGGGTCCCGAGCTTCCTCAACAGAACCTATATTCTACAGTATTACCCAAATGAGGGTATGGGTACACTCACCCAGAACTGGATGGACGTGGCAAACCGCGCGGCGAAATTCGTGGTGAATAAAACGGCTTTGGCGCCTGTCATTGGGGCACGGGTTTCATGTAGATTGGATAGGTAGGGCCAGCTAATGCTATTTATCTATCCCACTTCAAATTTGTATCCCAATGTTAGGCGCCAGAGTCGTTTTAATCACCACGAATTTCGCCACACGGTTCGCCGCGTCCATNCCCCCCAAATGATTACAGTAACAGTACTTAATATTGCTCATAGCCTTTCCATGTGATAGCCGCCTCTTTATACCTTGCCCGTATTGCCTCTTTATAACAAGCTTCTCTCATTTCTCTATTTATATAACCCATTAGTATGAGCGACGGTACCAGCGACGCGGTTGGGGAAAGTTCGATGGGGATCAGGGATGGAGAATTGAGCAGTCCCGACTGGATAACCTCAGTAGGCCAGGTGACGCTAAGCTGTCAAAAATCCGCAGAGAAGACACTGAAGTCGTCATCAACAGAAGAATCCCAGTGCAAAACCTGCAGACCCGCTTGGCTACTTTTTTCGCTTCGAGTGTTTTTAGAAATGCGCCTTCAGTGCATTGAAAGTTCTGCACTTTGCTTTGAGAAGGTATGAGCCGAGAGTGAAGAAAAGAGAAGAAGAAGAAATTCTTTCATAAATTACCTGTTTTTGAAGGTAGTGAATGATTGTTGCCAAAAATCCTTCCCTCACTACAGCAGGAGTCGATAGGTGGCCACAAGGGTATCCGGGCAGTCTCTGGGAATGGATTGATCAGCTACTCCCCAAATTATCCTGTTGAAAGTAATGAAGTCTACAGTAACAATACCAAAATCAAAAGTGACTCTAGTCGTAAGAACAGCTTATTACAAAATATCTCATCGATACTGACCTTAATCTTTCCAGTCCCAAATCCCAACTCTCCCTCTCCACCCGCTCCCCTCGAAACTCTAAGATTTTCTGACCTACCAAGGTAAAGACCTCAGTAAAGAACTACTTACCCTAATCCTAGAGTCGTTTTATAGTAATACTGATTGTCGGATTCCGTGCTCAATCTTTCGGTGCCACCTGAATAGAGCGAACAGCACCACCACTTCGTCTAGCCCGTTACCAGCTTTCAACTCCCTGAAAGATGTTAAGATGGCTCAAGCATAAAAATTTACAACAATTTCGGCTTGTAAATGAACAAAAACAAATAAACTGTCAAATCGAATTGAGGAATCCGCTGTTACCCCATACTGGTTTGAAGTTGATCACAGGTTTTAATGGGAACTGCAAAATCACCCATGTTAGAAGATTTTACCCACATTCAGCTAAAATCTCTTACACCGCTTTGGTTCAAATGTTTAGTGATGATTTTTCTAAGCCAATATTCTTGTCTAGGTAATCTGTATCTTCCGAACCTAGGAGCCACACACTTTCGAAAGCCCAGATGGGTTCGTGAGTCTTCACCTTTCAAGTACAACCAGGCTTCTGAGAGCGTGTGGATGCCACGCCTGGAGTGTACCTATCATAAACATCTACATTCTTTTCACCAAGCCGTCTACGTGTAATACGGCAAGAAAACGCAACTATCCTGGCTAATGGCTAATGCTGTGTACACTACACAAAAAATCCGCTGCATTTTGAGAACACTTCGGAAGAGCCAAGATCTCTCTTCGATATGTTGTCAACAACGAGATTTGCTGCCAATAAATCTATCGACAGAATCGAGAAAATAAGTTTGGAGAAAATGATGGATTACCGAAAAAAATGTAGGAGACTCATAAATACTCAGCTAACTTTATCAATGACGTTGTTTACGAT